GGAAAAACATACACAGTTTAGAAACCATAAAGGGCCAGAGAGCTCAGAGCAGGGAGCAACAGCCCTGTGTTGAGAAAGAGTGAGCTGTGAGGCTGGAAAACAGGCAGATGCCAGATCTCAAAGGTCCTTATGCAAATAAGTACATAAAAAGAGGTGAAGAAAAGTAAAATACAGGGGGGTTTCCAGGTATTTCTAGGACTTTTTTGTAGGGTTTTGAAATTTAAAGTTATAAAAAATGCAGGCTTCCTTGAAGTTGGCTAATTAATAACATATTCCTAGGGCTCTCTGAAGAGACCTGAGGCCTACTGTTCAAAACCTCTAACTTCTCCTTCGTATGTGGGAAAGACCTAAAAGTCTGAGGAATAAGTAAGCCCTTCTTTTCTTTCCTTTGAAAGAAAGGCCAACTCAAATGGGAAATTTAAATTTATGAATCTATCTCATTACTCTTGTTTTACTGGACTAGAGCAAGGACCAGGAGTTCTGCTTTTCTCACCTGCTGAACGCGCCCTTGAGGAGATGGCACCCAGTCCCCACAGGCAGGGCAGGGAGGAGAGAGATGGTCTGAGTGTCTGCACCACCACCAAGGGTTCACGTCCCACATCAGTGGTTCTCAAATGGGTGTGGGTCAAAATCACCTGGAGGTGTTGCTCACACACAAACCCCTTTGGACTTAAATCTTAGGAGGGGCCTTAAAATTTGCATTTCCACAAGCTCCCAGGTGTGTCAGTGGTTAGGAGGCCCCCAGCCTGCTCTGGCTGCGCCCAGCTTCTCTTTGCCATAACTCTCCTCACTCTGCAATGTTCACTGTTTAATCCAGGCCTTCCTCACTAGGCTGTGCATTGCATAAGGGCAGGAACTATGTTTGTCTTGTTTATTTGGAGCTATTATTTGTTGAATTAATAAATGAATGCTTCTAGTGGCTTTCCAAAGACACAGAACAATAGGAGAGGAAGTAGACTCCAAGACACGGATTCTGGTTTCCTTTTTTCTAGAGATAAACACAGAAAAGCATGAAAAAGTTTTTTCTTTTTTCTTTCCTTTTTTTCTTTTTTTTTTTTTGAGACAGAGTCTCACTATGTCGCCCACAGTAGAGTGTCGTGGCATTATAGCTCAGAGCAACCTCAAACTCTTGGGCTTAAGTGATTCTCTTGCCTCAGCCTCCCAAGTAGCTGGGACTACAGGCGCCTGCCACAGATCCCAGCTATTTTTTTGTTGCAGTTTTCATTGTTGTTTAGTAGTCCTGGACCAGGTTCTAACCCACCTACCTTAGTGGATGTGGCCAGCACCCTAACCACTGAGCTATGGGCACTGGGCCAGTTCTTTATTTCTTATTTCCTTTTTATTTATTTATTTTTTGAGATAGAGTCTCACTGTCACCCTGAGTAGAGTGGCATAGTGTCAGGCTAGTTTTTCTATTTTGAGTAGTGAAGGAAGGTAGGGGGTCGGGTCGGGGTGTCTCACTCGTGTTCAGGCTGGTCTTGAACTGCTTAGCTCAAGCAACTCATTCACCTTGGCCTCCCAGAGTGATAGGGTTAGTTATAGATGTGACCCAACATACCTGAGTTCCCAAAAGTTACTTTAGTTTCTACTTTTGGTTCTTCCAAAGAGGTTTAAATGCCCCCTCTTGACCACCTCTGAGCTTCAACTTCCTCATCTCTTAAATATAAGACTGACAGATAAAATGTAGGACATCCAGTTAAATGTAAATTTCAGATAAATAACAATTTTTAGCACACATTATTTGTTTGCTAATAATTTTTAGCACACATTTAGCATGCTGTATTTGTTTTTCTGAAATTCAAATTTAACTGGGTATTCTGTATTTTTATTTGCTAAAACTGACAACCCTACATATATATGGATAATAATATTACTTACCTCACAGGGTTTCGGTGAGAATTAAATGAATGTATGTAAAGCCTTAGAATAGCAACTGAGACCAAGTAAGAGCTCTATTTAAGTATTTGCTTTTATTTTTATCATACATATGCAACACACACACACACACACACAGACACACACACACACACAATCCTGACTACTCTTCTTCAGTAACCCATTACAGTTTTGAAAATTTTTTCATGATATTCTGAAATCTCCATGTTTTAATTTGTGACAATTTAATTTTATTATCTCCTTTATAAATCTCTTGATTTGAATTTGGTTTTAGAAGACCAAAATAAAATAATCTCTTAATCTAAGAGATTAAGGCAAAAATAAAATAATCTCTTAATCTTTTCTTCTTAGCATAAGGTTCCAATTTTATCTTTTGTCATATGAACCTGTTTTTCTTTTCTGAAGTCTGCCTAGTTCCTACACATTATATATTTTCTTTAATCAGAAAAATATGTTTATTATAATAAGTTCATAAGAAAGAAAAAGATTATTCTTTCTTCTTGCAACCCTGTCTGAGTTGTCCACAACAATCTTACCTCTCTGGCCTTCTGTTTCCCTAGCCCTACATGCTGTAGTTGGTAGATGATGATGGCTAAAGTCACTGCCAGATCTAACCCTACAAAGAGGGTTTAGTAAGGATTTTTAACTCAGCACACAGGAAAGTAGAAGGAATTAGTTGACTTTACTCATCACTATCAATTCCTTATTGATAGAGAAGCAGGAGGGATCTCACGTGGCAACATAGATCAATGACCTCTGCCTGAAACTATGGCTACTATAACACGAAGAACTTAAAATCCCTAAGTCAACCATGCTCAAGTGGAAAGTACCCAGGCCTTTGTTGGACCTAGGTTCAAGTTCTGCATTCTAAAACTATATACATTATCAGCTCTATAGCCTATGGTAAATAATTTACTTTCTTTCAGCCTTAGTTTCTTCTCTGTTAAATGAAGGTAATATTAATATCTAACTTAAAGGTCACTGTGGGGTTAAATGCAATACGCAAAACTACGTGGGTCTATGCTAGCATATAGTATGTTTTCAACAAATACCTGGTCTTTTTCTTACATGCCTTTTCAGATCCTTGACCTGAAGACAGTTTAGAAGTAATAGAATAACTACACGAAGAATTATCCATCAAATTATCTCTCAAAGATTCTGTCAAGGAACTGCAGGGTTCCACAGAATGTAGTTTGACAGCCTTTGATATGGCAATGTTGAGACTGTCCAGGATTCACAAGTGAGAGCAGTGACCTCATTTCTTGTCACTTATCACACAGGGGCTCCCCATCTCTAGACTTATATGACTTTGATCTACTCACACTGGTTATAGTCTTAGGTCTATACATGAAATGTGATATAAGAAAAATAAAGTGTACAAACTTTGGATTCAGAAAGAATGGGTTTGAACCCTGACTCTTGTGCTTATTACCTTTGTCTTTCATTAAATTATTTAACTTCTTGATGTCCTCATATAGAAGGGCGACAGTAATAACAATTACCTTGCACGGTGGAGGTAAAGACTTAAAATGACCTATGTAAAGTTCCAGATACAGGGTAAGAGGCTGATAAATGGCTGCTACGACTCCTTAGCCTGTCACATCAAAACCTGACTTGGCTACGCAGGAACAGAAGCCTAATCAATAGTAAGGGCCACACCTATCAGGGTAAAAACTGTCAGTCCCTGAAGCATGACTTTATTCCAAATCCAGAGAGACTCTGGGTTTCACCACCTCCTTTTGCCCCAGATTACAAGTTTATTTTGAGGATGCATCTTTAAATTCCCAAAGTGCCCAGGAGTGCCTAATATACTTGGCATTCGGTAATAATAATGACTGATGTCTTCTTTGTGGTGAAATGCACCCTGCTTTCATAGCCCCTTTTGGATCTGCACTTACTTGGGTACTTGCGGATGATTCTGAAGGGCTGGTTGTTCACATCTGTCTCCGTAATACGGCAGACATACTTCTCATGTAACCTGACAGGGTATTTCAGGATGGAGAACACTCGGTAGAAACCATCCATCTGTTCCTCTAGGACCTCCACAGTGCTGTGGTTGCTCAGATCCCTCTCTGCCCTGTCCAGCCAGGTCACGTTAGGTGAGAGGTACCAGCCCTTGGAGATGCACGTGGCCACATCCTGATCCTCAATCTTCTCAAACAGCACCTGGGGCATTTCAGAGTCTGCTTGGGAAAAAAATAACAGAACAATTAGTTCCTTTTATATTTTAGCCCCAGGAGGCTCAGGCTAGCAGAAATCTTGCCCTTGGTTTTTACATTAACCCCCTTTGTAGGCAGTACACAGTTGAAGTCAAACTTAAAAATTTTTTATTTCAAAATTATAAAGGGGATACAAATGTTACATGGATAGCTTGTATAATACTTAAGTCAGAGATATTAGTGTGCCCATCACTCCAATAGTCTTCATTGTACCGGTTAGATAGGATTTTTTATTCCTGCCCTTTCCCTCCCTCTTCTCTGCTTTATGACTAATGACTTTTACTTCTCTCTGTGCCCATGTGTGTCTGTCAATTAGTTCCAAATTATTAGAGAGTACATGTAGTGTTTATTTTTCCATTCCTATACTTCACTTAGGATAATGGTCTCTAGTTTCATCCAATTTGCTGCAAAAGACATTAATTCATTTCTTTTTATGGCTGAGTTGTACTCCATGGTATATACGCACACACCATATTCTGTTAACCCATGAATTGATGAGTACTTAGTTAGGTTTATTGTACATATTTTCAATTGTGAATTGTGCTGTAATAAACATTTAGGTACAGGTATCTTTTTGATAAAATGACTTCTTTTCCTTTGGGTAGATACCCAGTAGTGCGGCTGCTCAGTTGAATTGTTTATTTCTTTGAAGAATCCTCATATTGTTTTCCATAGAGGTTGTACTAATTTATAGTCCCACCAATAGCATTCGTTTCTCTTTGTATCTACATCAGCATCTATTGTTTTTTTGATATTCTATGCTCATTTGGAATCAAAAAAGAGCCCAAATAGCCAAAGCAAACTTAAGCAAAAAAGAACAAATCTGGAATCATATGATTACAAGACCTCAAACTTATTCTACAAAGCTATAGTAACCAAAACAGCATGGTATTGGTACAAAAATAAAGCTATAGACCAGTGGGACAGAACAGAGAACCAAGATATAAAACCATCTACCTACAACCAACTGATCTTTGATAAAGCAGACAACAACATTCACTGGGAAAAAGAAGACCTATTCAATAAATGGTGCTGGGAAATTGGATAGCCACATGCAAAAGAATGAAGCAAGATGCCTATCTCTCACCATTCACCAAAATCAATTCAAGATGAGTAAAAGACTTACATGTAAGGCATGAAACCATAAAAATTCTAGAAGACAATGTAGGAAAAACTCCTCTAGACATCAGCCTAGACAAATAAGTTATGATGAAGACCCGAAAGGCAATTATAGCAACAATAAAAATAAAACTTGATTAAATTAAAAAGCTTCTGCACAGAAATGAAAATAATCAATAGAGGAAATAATCAACAGACAATCTACAGAATGGGAAAATATTCACAGACTATACTTCCAACAAAGGGCTAATATCCAGAATCTGCAAAGGACTCAGACAAATCAACAAGGAGAGAACAAAAAACCCCAATAAAAGGTGGCCAAAAAACA